TTATGGGAAACCCTAACCCTACTTTGGACTCGGCGAGTTCATGCCATGCACAGAATCAATTGAACTCCTGAGGTCAGATCTGTTCCTTTGGTCCATAGATCTGACCTTCCCCAGCCTGATAAACACGTAAAGCTCGAATCATGACACTCATGGGACGTCTAGAAGATTTCACATGGTGATTTAGCCCCAAAAACAACATCCTATGCTCAACATCTCTATGGCTTAACATAAAGCAAGTTGAGATAAGCTCTTTAGACCACTATGGATCTAGATCCGAAATCTCAAAGTGAATAAGGGCCATGTTCTCACAATTTCTTCTATTAAAGGACATGAAAACTCTACATCTATGGATTGCTTCAACACAATAGATAAAGGGGCAATATATTACCTCAAAGATGAAGTATTTAGTTCGAAATCCACAGATGCACCACCTCCATGGTCTCCTCTAAGCTGGAAACACTTCCTTCTTGCAAGAATCAACCACAAAGATCAAGAAATGGCTCCTTTCCTCTCACAATCGCTCTAGCTCTATTAGGGTTTCTCTCTGGGGTTTGGTAGCTGCAAATGATGGCCCTATGGGCCTTTAAATTGGTCCCAAACCCTGGAAATTAGGGTTTCATTAAACAACGTGGACTTGCCGAGTCCACTCATGGACTCGCCGAGTCCACTCATGAACCTGGATAATAATCCGCGACCCTACACGGCGAGTCTAAGCACCCACTCACCGTGTCCCTCCACAAACTCCAAAATAAATGAATAAAATAATATGCATGGGAATCCGGATGTTACAATAATCGCAATAATTTTACAAAAATTAATATTCATGTGACGGAAAAACTAAAACCATTAATGGAAGGATTTTCGGGTCGTTACATGTACCACTCACACATCCACATACAATGTATATATCCATGCATGTAACTGAGGAAGTGTTAATATTACTGTCACAAGTCATAAGTCATTAAACACCATCAAAGTAATTTACCATGGATTTTAGGTTGGAAAAACAAAAGTTATTTCTATCCTAACATGAATTCATATGGTTATACATGGTTGTGAGAAATATCATCTGAAAGCTATAATAGTCGTTAACTCTTCAAAAGAAAGTTTGGAAAGTATAAGTTTATGTATGGACGTATATATACATATTATATTCCACATAACAAGCAAGTTTGCAAAACACTTACTCAAACTTTATTTCATAAAATCATCATCTATTATCATAGGGACATGCACTCAATAATTAATCACCTTAGTCTAAAGTTATCCTTCTTCACCTCAAGGTATGTAAAAGTTTTTAAGACACCCTTTCTGCTTAATAGGATATGGTAACTTAAGTGTCACCTAATACCATCAAAAGGTATATCAAAATTATATCAAGTGATACATTAATTCACTTGTTAAGCTCTTAATCCTAATTCTATCATTCCTTACGTTAAAACTTGAACATAAGTGAAAACAAGGACTAATAGATGTCAAATGAAAAATATACGATAGTTACAAGTTTTTGTCTTTGTTCCAGTTCATACATGTATATGACATAGATCTACGTAGCCCATGCATGCTCTCTGTGTTTTTTCTATGAAAATTTCATTATATAGGAACCACCTAAGTCTACAACACATTTTGTCGAAATCATTCCTACTTATTCCGAATTGCATCAAGGATTATTCCATTAACATTCCCTTAACTTAAAAGGACATTTAGGCATCTCATTATAGTTATAACACTTATATTATTCTAAAATAAATCTTACTTTATACGTGACATAATGTTTAATGGACTTCTAATATTACAAGAGCTATATGTAGCTAATAAAGAAATTAACACTCTCATTAAGTAAATAAGCTCTTAATAGCTTTGAGTTATATTATCAAGCACTTGAATAAGTAAAATGAGTGTTACTAACTTCAAAATAATATCAACTTGATTCTAATTGCAATCCAACCTATCTAAATTTAGAAAACTAATTCCAAATCGAAATTGTGATTCCAACCACAACTAAAGTGTTGTGGTGATTCTAGTTCTCACAATGAATTTGTAAGACCAACTACACCATCGGTTTTAGTTTCTAACATCAAAATTGTTTTAGTTCATTTGGTTCTATACATATATAAACAAATTTCCAAGTTCGAAGATTAGTAGTCCTTCCAATTATCCACTACATTCCAATGATAGTTTTTTGTTTTGGTGATGGAAATTCTACTCACAACTTCAAAAGGAAATTAAGGAATCACAAAATGTATGAATTATGAACCTCTAATAACATTTGGTACCCTATTTTTTCAATTACTAATAAACTTCACCATCAGTGTACAACTCAAACATGAGTATAACCTCAATGTGGGTTTGAGGATTCAATCAACTAAAATCATTGATGAGAATGGAATAAAACATTTTTATGTTGAAATGATAACTGAAGGATGATCCTTTATAAGTTTCGAACACCAGATCATGGTCACAATATTATCTAATGGTGTAAGTACGGATTCAAGGGCGTTTTCACCATTGTTAGAGCTTCGAGTTTTTAATACCTGCCATACTCCAAATGAATCAACTAGGTTTTGATCCTATGGATTATAGGAGTTCAAATGTTATAAAATATGTAAAATAAAACATTGTTATAAAATATGTAAAATCTAAAAACTAATTACTAATTGAGTTATCAATTATGGATTTAGAACAATTATACAATCCCTATATCCAAATTTGGAAGAAAATAAGAAGAAAATTACATCTAAATTTCTTATATCCTCAATTACATTCAAACCCTTGATTCTAAATCAATTGATTCATTAAATTAATGATGAAATGCTTAGAATTGTTCCATGAAATCCGTCCTTCTCACTTGAATCATGATTCTCCTTTAAAATGGTGAGAATTTCAAGTTTATATACTCATTCATGTTACATAATGGGCCTTCTAGTTTGATTTTCTCTCAAATGAGGACTAATTGACAAGTATTTTAAATGGAACTTATTATTATCACTCAATTTCCCCATAATATCCTATTCTAATCCATATGGTCTTGACTAATCTAACTTATTCCTTCAACTTTTGTCTAGTTGAATATTTGGTCCCTCAACCTCAATAGCTTGCACCTATAACCTATTTTATCTTTGAAGATAAGTACAAACTTAATACTTTCATATATAATCATTGAAAATATAATTTATCACTTTCATTTCATAGTTGGTAACTCATGAGTCAAATCTAAACTATTGAAAATTAACAACTTTGGTCCCTTAAATAAAAAATTTCCAATTTAAGTCTAGTAGAGCTCTAGTTTATTTTTTATCAACAATTTATCGTATATTTAATTTATAAACTTTAATTTACTTATTTATATATTTCTATTATTTTATTTCCAAAAAATATTATCTTTCACCAAAAAAGGTAAATTTCATAGGCCCATTTTGCAAATATTACATAATCTTGGTTCACAAATTTAGGACAATGGTTCGTGTGGATGTGGAGGTACCTCTGCCTATAGCATGTACTAGTAAGACTTTCTTGAAAATCGCAACTAAATGGTGGGGAGTGTTATATACAGAGCACCCTAATGATAAAAATATTTATAGGAAATGGTTGTGTATAAGAATCTCAATCAATTCCTTCATAATGGAATCTTTTAATATCGGTGTATGGGGAAATGTTTTTAATGTTCAAACCAAGGAGGTAATACGATAATTTCAAGATTTTATATAGGATGTCTCTAAGATAGAGAAAGAAAACAAAGATAACTTGATAATGCAAAAACAACCTCATAGAAGAAAAAGGGTGATATTAAGAATTTTGTTGTGGTCTAATCTTGAAAGGAATATAACGAATCTGTTGGGATACATATTTTATAGATTTGAAGATGAAAAATATATACATTATAGTTATAGCTTATTTGATGATTGTAGATAGTCATTCTTGTCAAAGTAAGTGTAAATAATATAACTTACACAAGATAATCTAGCAGAGTTTGTTTACATAGTTAATCTAAAGCTATGTTGATGATCAAAAGACACTAAAGACACTATCAGCACCCAAGGAACGAAGACACCATTAACTTAAGACTGATCAATATGTCCATACACTAAAGATCCTATACTGATGACATATTGATCAGGTAATGCATTTATGACACATATTGATGGTTATTCACTCTAGTTGTAGCTAAAGTTGGCCAGTGTGAGTCACAGCTGCTAACGCTAAAGATAAAGCTGATATCTGAAATTAGAGCATATCAGATTTACTTAGTGAAGAAGTAATTTGAAGATCTGACCTGATCCATTACCTAAATATCGAATATGCATTTATCATTTGAGTGTCAATCCCATCAAGTCAGGGATTTGATTTAAACAAAGACATGGTGTGTCTGCAAAATTCTTATCACATACATTTAGACTAGTATTTATACTACCCTCTCTCATTAGTTGAGAATTGATGATTTGTATTCTATTCTAAGAGTTAGAGTGTCTATACGGATAAATGTAAGAGTTCTTGGTGAGTTCTTAGATTGTACTCATTCTCTTTGTAGGAGCATTATTATTTGTGAATACCCAATAAATAATATTGGTTATTATTTGTCAAATACTTGGTTATTATTCTGCGCTTCTATTAGATTCATATACAATTATTAGGATTTGGGACCAATAAGTCGTATCAGAGCAGGCTAGAACATCCATTTAAGATCTGTTAAAAATTCAGAAGTTCAAACTTTATTTAGAAACTCAAAAATTAAAAGAAGAAGAAATCTTATACAATCATCCAAATATGAAGAATAATTCAAAAAACAGATAAGAAAGGGTATGGTATCTTTCCGTATCTTTGGTATTATCTAACTATATTAGGTAAGTTTGGTCCTTATAACATCTCTTAGATGAGAGAAGAATTTATAATTTGAACGATCAATAAAGATACAATTGTTCTTGATCAAGAAGATTGAAAGGAAAGTTCATAAAAATAAAACAGAATTCGATGCACGTCCTTTATCATTCTTTCCTGAATAGATGTATGATCCAAAGACACGTATATCCATGTTATTCATGGACTTTGGTTTGAAATACAAAATCATCATTCAGAAAAATGAAGATATTGAAGTGTTGAAGAAGAAGTTGACTGAAAAGGAAAAAGAGATATTAGATCATAAGCATAAGATTAAAGAAAAAGATGTGAAGATGAAAAGATTTTCTTCTATAAGTGTTAAAATAGATTTTGTACCTGAAGAATGTTCATCATCAAGAAACCCTAGTTTTCATCTTGATGAACATCACATCAAGTCTTTCCCTAAAAAGCCTTATGCCGATAAGATTCACCATGAGAAACCACAAGCTGCTCATACTCGAAAAGTTTCATCAGAACCCATTACCATTCTCAAATGACCCACTCCTTTAATTTAACCTCACACTAGAATGACTTCAGTTCAAATTGTAAAGAATGCTCACACTACCACTCCAGTTCTTGATGCCAAGAAGTCTCGCACTGTTAAGACATCACATGCCGACAAATTTGTTCACATTGGTAAGCTTGTTTACACTAAAATGACTTTTAGCAATATCAAGATATCTTAAGCTGTGAAAACCTCTTCTCACGCGGCCAAGACTAACATTCCATCTCCAACTCCAATCATCAGAAGAGATCAAGCAGGTAAATTCTAGGATGTATGTTCTTGTTTCAATAATATTGTTTACAGGACAAAGCAAATAAAGAAAAGGAAGCTAAGACCAATAAAAAAGAAGGTACGTGTTCCAAATAATCCATCTCTAGAACCAAGGAAGATGAAGCAAGTTTAGGTTCCAAGGAGTACATCTCCTAAACCTGAAAAAAAGCCAGTCAATGGTGTTAGAAAGAAATATTGGAAAAAAATCTCAATGAAAGAAGAAACGGGCTCTAAAACCTCAAGTTGGTTGTTCTACATTTGATTAGAAGTTTTCAGAAGTGAGTTATGCTCTAAAACCCATTCTCAAATGGGTTCCCAAGTGTCATTGTTAATTTTGAAGCAATGTGAGAGACTACGAAATCCTCAAACTCATATTTAACTATCTCTCTTATTAAGAAAAAGTGTTTATATTGTTATTATTATTTTTGTTCCTAAAAGGTTTCTAGGGGTTTTGTTTTGAAAAGTTTTGTAGGGGATGTGACAATACTTTTGGTTAAGGACTTTCTCTTATGTGCTAGTATGTTTCTTGTCGTATTCAAGATGTTTTCTCTACATCAATGTATCTTTGTCATCTCGAATGCAACAAGATGAAAGGGCTGTTGATTTTTCAAAAAAAATTAAAGTGTTATGCTTGACTTTTTGGGAATGGTTTTCAAGTGTATATTTTTTTATCTCTTAATAGAAATATCCTGGAGACAAATTTTAGTGTCGCGTATGGTGTTCAAATTATTCATGAAAATTAGAAGTTATTTACCCCCTTAAAGTTCTAAAAGGAGTATCTTTTTGTGTGTTCAAAGTTCTTTAGTTTCAAAAAGTGATTTGTAGATTGCATGGATGTTTTATCACGTGCTAGTTCTTTGCTTAGATGCTTTCAAGTAGGGTCTTGGTGATGATCTACCTAATGTGTCAATACACATTTTTCAAGATTTTCAATTTTATTGCACCACCTTAATACACTCTATTAGAGATATGTTATGTTTTATGACACTCAAAATGAGTTGAAGCTAAATGTTAAAAGTTTAAATCAACTGAAGTTTTTAATGAACCAAGAACTTAGGGGGAGCAATCAATATTGACAAGGGTAACCATTCTAAAAAATTAAATAGGTGGTTATAATGTTATTTGATGTTAGTTGATGTCTAGAGCTGGCTCTTACGTAGGCTCCATCAGGTATTGTCATTCATTCTAAAATCATTGTACATTTTGACAAACAACTATCTCTAGAAGCATGTTGTTGTATATACCTAAATATCTCCAAGTATCTCATCAATGAGACCATCTACTGAGATGAAATTGAGTCACCCACTCACATTGATTGTTAGGTATTGACATATCCTTCAACATGAGACTGTCTGGTCCTTATTATAAAAATTTCTACAAATCTTTGGTGTTTATTTTCTTGTTTAAGAGTTTCTTACCTGACTATATCCCTGGAAGCATGCTTTTGGTATGCATTAGGTCTCGTGTTTTTTCTGAAACATTGAGCATTACCGAGTCGATTACCCTGATTTCATTGTCATTAGCTCAAGAGATACTTGTCTGGTTCATAAACGACATAGGGTTATTCATGTCCTTGACCTCCTAGTCTGATGTATGACATGGTAGCATTATGAATGGATGATGGATAAACTCCAAGATTTTAACTACTCATCTCTACAAGTCTTGTAATATAGAGATTAATGATTCACTGTGGAATACCATACACTGATAAAAGTACAACACTATGTGTCGATGATTAAGCTATGTACCATGATTTATCACATGCACCAACCCATTCTTTCCCTTAAATTATTCCTAAAACCTTTATGATTCAATGTCAAATGCCATACGTTGATGAGAGCATGAAAATATGTGTCCATGGGTATATCATGTACTGTGATATATTGAATACACGTACCCACTCTTACCCTTTTTTTCTTCTCATAGAAGGTGGATAATTATTCAACGTATAAAACCATACGCTGGCGAGACTATGCAAAATTGTGTAAGTGATCTACAATCGCAACACATTAGTGTGATACACCAAACTCTCTCCTATCCTTTAACTTTATTTGATGTTTTTTTTTCATTGCAGGTTACTTGTTGTCCTCCTAAAAAAATCAAACAAAAAAATATAAAAAAAATCAAAAAGATGGTAGTGATTATTGATGCTGTCAAAAAGGGGGAGAAATGTTTACTTCTTCTATGTTGTCACTTGATCATTCATACAATAGCAGTCACTCTAGAAAAAAGAAGGTTAATTATCTAAGGGGGATTAGAAATAAGCATTTTACTTCAGATGTAGTTAGTTCACTTAATATTTCATTATTTCTTAGTTTTTCTTTAACATCATAAAATAAGGGAGATTTTTGGGATACATATTTGTCTAGATATGAAGATGCAAAATATATACATTATAGTTACAATTTATCTGCTCATTATACATAGTTAGGTTTGTCTAAGTAAGAGGAAATAACTTAACTCATACAAGTTGATCTATTAGAGTTCGTTTATATAGTAAATCTGAATATATGCTGATGGAAGTTTATATGTCAAAGACTGAAGATCATCCCTTGATGAGAAAAAAGACACTAAAGGCACTATGAGCACTAAAGACATGAAGACACCACTCACTGAACATTGATTAGTATGTTTGTACCCTGAATGCCCTATACTGATGATACACTGATCAGGTGATACACTGATGACACACGCGGATTGTTATTCACTCTAGCTGAAGTTGAAGCAGATCAGTGTGACTCCCTGATGCTAAAGCCGAAGCTGATCAGCGTGACTCACTGAAACTGATGCCCCTGATCAGTGTATGATGTGTTGGTGCTGATATCCGAATTTAGGGTAGATAATATTTACTTGGTGAAGAAGTATTCTGAAGATCTAATCTGATCAATTTCTTAAATACCATATCTGCATTGATCATTAAAGAATCCGTCCTATCAAATCATGGATTTGATTTTAACGGAGGTCTAGTGTATCTGCAGATTTCTTATCTCCTATGTTTAGACTAGTATTTATGTTAGCCTCTCAAATTAGCTGAGAGTTGATGATTTGTATTGTATTCTGAGAGTTAGAGTTTTTGTAGAGATAGATCTAAGAGTTCTTAGATTGTACTCGTTCTCTTTATGAGAGCAAAACTGTTTGTGAAAACCCTGTAAATAATATTGGTCATTATTTGTAAAATAATTGTGTTATTATTCTACGCTTCTATTGGATTCATATATAAGTATTAGGATTTGGGCCATCATAATCATAACGTGTTAATGGTACTTTTCTGGAAGAGGGGATGTTCAATATGTAGTGGAAGGAGAACTAACAATTTCTAAGCATCCATTTTGATTATTTGATCCACTTAATAAGTAGAACCAAGGATATATATATATATATATATATATATATATATATATATATATATATATATATATATATATATATATATATATATATATGTGGCTTTAGTTATCTTTTCCACATGGTTACACGCCCCTATCATAATTTTTTTGGAGAACCATTAGTTGATCATTGTTTATAGCGGCAAGAAAAGGTACAACAACGTTTGTCTAGGAAATGGCAGTATGTTGAGGTCCTTCGATGGACATTTACTGCTTACGGAGAGATGTGAATGTTTCAATGATTACCTTTCCTTAAAGTTCAAGGATTGAGTTAGAAGGTAGAATAATATTGAGTGAAGAACTTGTACAATAAGAATCTGGTAAAATTTTATCCTTACAAGAAACTAAAATGAGGTGCGTTGATTTATTTAATGTTAGATCTATTTCGGGTAATCTTCCTTTTTACTATGTTTGTAGTTTGTTAGGGGCTTGTTTGGGGGTTGTTAAATATGACATGAGTGTTGAAGGCATGAAAGACTTGTGATAGAGCATTCTGATGGAGCTTCCTGGTGGAACATGCGAAAAAGTGCTCATGGTGAAGCAAGATGTGTTCATGCCTTCAGAGAAGAACTCCATTGGGTAGAATATTCTTAAAGAGATAGACCAACTTCACACCATTGGTGTTGATATTTACTAATTTGTAAAAAGAGACTTGGTAATGGTTGTCTGTATCCTTTTGGAATGATATTTGGTTAGGGGAGATCCTTTAAAAATTAAATTTTCTAGAGTCTTTGACCTTTAATTTGATAAACATGGTATTGTCAAACATAATATGGAAAAGTGTTGTCTTACGACTTCTTTTCATAGAGATCCCAAGGGAAGGGCCTCGCATTAGAGGGTCTTTACGACAATCTAGATTCAAGTATTATGAATCCTACTCCTCATAGGTGGATTTCATCTTTATCTGGGCCTAGTGATTTTTCGGTGGCTTCAGTGCGAGCCTTTATACATGAATACTTTCTTACGTCTTCTTCCCCTACATGTCAGATTTCAGCTACCATCTATCAAGATAAATAGTTTTCCGTAGCGCATGGTTGTGGATAAGCTTCCTACTAAAGGAAACTTAGATAGGCATAGTTTGGTCATTCCTTCACTGCTTTACCTATATGATCGGGGGTACTAAGTCGATCGGTCATTTATTTTTTTGCTTGTTCCATGGAAAATGTGTGTTTATTGAAATTGATATGTGGTGAGGCTTGATGGTATCAACTATATCTTTATATGTTGAAAAGTGGAGTTGGTTCTCCACTTTATGACACCAAGTAGTTATGAAGACGTATTTGGAAGGTGTCTTCTACTCGATGTGGAACATATTTGGATTTTCAAGAATACTTTG